CCACGAATGTGAACCTGAGAAGAGAATGGAGACAAATTCTCTCTGCTACTCAGAGACTATCGGGTGGGCACACTGCTGCATGGAATATCAAAGGATTCTATGTTTTTATTGACATTTTTGATCCTTTTGGCAGATATTGATGACTTTTACATGATGCTTAAATCTCCATCAATAGCTATTCTTTTCCCCACTCTCTTTTGGGTTCTTTTTGCCCCTCTTTTGATGTTTCTTAAAGCTGTATTATTATTAGTGCTACTTGCTATACTGGGGATGGAGCCCAGGGCCTAGCATGTGCTACCAGCATGCCCTGCATCCTCAGGCCTTTGCTGTGTTATCAAGTGAATGTGTGTCTAGATATGTATGCCATGTTTCCTTGACAAACTCATCTCATATACCTCTTACTTAAGTGGGTTTATCAGGTCCTAACCCAACCACTCCAGCTCTCCTTTCATCAGTGCTTATGTGGTGAAGCACTTTACATCCTTTCCTTTTACAAAGGATTATTTTTGGAACAACGTTGGGTTTACAGAAGAGTTGAAAGACATCACTAACATTTCCTATGTGCCTTTTTCTCTTTTCTCTAATGTCAAAGTTTTACATAGCTACTTTACATTTGTCAAAATCATTAAGTGAACATCGAAGCATCATTTGCTAAACATCACACCTTATTTTTCACAGGCTTTACGTCAATCTCCTCCCCTCCCCTCCGCCCCCCCCCCCCCCCGTCACGGGGTTTAGTCTAAGAGCTCACATTCGTCTTGAGTTGTCATGTCTCCTTAGGTTCCTCTGATCCATGATAATGTCGCAACATTTTCTGTTTTGCTTGTTGTCATTGCCTTGCATTCTTGCAGAATACTGGTCAAATTTTGCATGGACTGCTCCTCAGCTTGATTTTTTTTTTCTCGTACATTGTAATAATTATGTTGAAATTATAAAAGGCAAACACCCTTTTTGTCACAGCCAGTGAAAGGAACAGTGGCATAAAGGACATCACTGGTGATCAAAAGTTAAATGCCATATAAGAAAACACTTTGGATACATTAGTTCTTTTGAGTGATATGATTTAATTTTCCTATTCTGAAACCAAAACCCAAGACCTCGTGCATGCTAGGCAAACACTATACCACTGAATTACATTTCCTACCCTTGGTTTACAGAATGGAGTTTCACTGTGTAGCTTTGAACCCATGATCTTCCTACCCCTTCTCTCTGGGTGATGGAATTACAGGTGTACCCCATCAAAATGAAGTTTTAATATTTTCGAATACTTTTTCAGCCCAAATACATTGCTGACAGTCTATAGTCTTATCTTGAGCTCGACCAACCTTGGGTCAAAAACAGAGTTCTTGCTATTCAATAAACAATATTTATACAGCAGGTACATTATATTGGACCTTCTAAATACTCAAGAGATTATTTAATGCATACAGCTTATGCAAGTGAGGTATGTATAATGGTGTCTTGTAAGCAATATGAGCATCTATAGATTTTAGTATCTCCTGGGTGCTCTGGAACCACCTAATCACAGACACACAGGATGATTCTATTTCATTTAGTTCCTGTTCCTCAAAGCAATACCTTGAGACTGTTTAGTTTTGTACTCATTTTATAGATTAGGAATCTGAGGGTTAATGGGGCCATAAATTATTTTCCTACAGACACAGTTAGTAAGTGAGGGGGCATGGTTTATACCCAGGCAGCTCAACTTCCCACAAATGCACAATGTGAATAGGAAGAAGGAGAAGGAGAAGGAGAAGGAGAAGGAGAAGAAGAAGAAGAAGAAGAAGAAGAAGAAGAAGAAGAAGAAGAAGAAAAGAAGGAGGAGGAGGGGGAGGGAGAGGGGAAGCAGAGGAGGAGGAGGAGGAGGGGAAGGGGAAGGAGAAGAAGAAGAAATCCAATAGAATGAGAAGTCATTAGGCCCAAGATGGAGGAAAACTGGGTGTCCCCAAAGTCTTCCATTATCCAGGAGACATCCTACTTGTTCATGTCAAAGTTAACTTCACCAGTGATGTTATTTCTTGCCATTTTCCTCTTCATAGGCTATGATGAGAAGTATGTTTGCCTTCTAAGACCTCAACATAAGCATTACAATATGGCAGAAAAGGGCCAGGTGGTGGTGGTGCACGCCTTTTACCCCAGCAATTGGGAGGCAGAGGCAAGTGGATTTCTGTGACTTTGAGGCCAGCCTGGTCTCTAGAGCTAGTTCCAGGACAGCTCGGGCTGTTATACAGACAAACTCTGTCTCAAACAAAGCAAAGCAACGCAAAACAAAAAAATATAACAGAAAAAGCCAGATTGAGGAACAGTCCACACAAAATGTGGCTGGTACTCTATTATCGTGGGGAATATTTCTAATTCTATCACTCAGGGAACAGAGACAAGAGGACCATGGGTTCAAGGATTCCCTCTCTTTCCTTTATCTGGTTTTGATGGGCCAGGTTTAGGGCAGAAACAGAGCAGCAGAAAGAAGATGAAGGTCTTACTTACGTCTTACTTATGAACCCAGAAGCCTGGGCTGGAGGGCACAGATTCCAGAGATTGGAGATCAAGGGATAGATGGCGTCAGAGCAGAGGACAGTCAATTGGCAGCAGTAACATGTGAAGCGAGGGGAGCTGGAAGAATGAGGTCTTTGAGGTCCTGAGAATGGGCTGTATTTCTAGCCTGGGCTCAAAAGAAGTTGAAGAGTCCCCTAGTGCTTCATTACCCACAAATGGTTGGAGAAGGCAGGAGGAGATCCAGAGTTTCATTATCTGGGCCAATCTGGAGTCCTACAGGCTTGGTGTTATGTTCAAAACAGGCCCTGCTGGTGATGGAGCATGGTCATTGGAATGGACCCTAATACCTGACTGTACACAGTGTCAAAGCTGATGGTGCTTGGGGACAGGAAATGCATTGCGCCCCCCACATACTCTGCAGGAGAGTACTCCTGGGATCACACAGGGAGTGCCTCTTCAGAGGATCACTGGGAAAAAGGTTGAGGAAGAGCAGGAGTGGGCAGAACTTGTCTCTTAAAGGGGTCTTTTTGTGCCTGTGTACAGAGCCAGGGTACTTCCTGCCATGCATGCATAGGTGATGCACTCTGCTAGGTCCTCAAGGGGTGGGTCTAGGTGTCCCTGGATGCTAGCATTTCCCCGTTTTATTTATTAAAAAGGTGAAGAGTTAGGAGTGGCAGGTGAGGGAAATGAGGACACCAGTTCTTGCGACTGTTTACTGCTGATTTGTGGGGCATCGATCATCTTTGGGGGGACCTGAGAAAGCTAGGGTGCTGGTCACATCCTGGAGCATCTGGTTGTCTCCCTGCTGCCAGGATGCTAGCATGTTGTCCTTGCCATCATTTTGCCCAGTAGCCCCTGCTTTGGAGTAGGTTATGATGAAATTTGCAAAACACGACCTGAGTTGGATAAAGTTCACCTGACTGCTGGGCGGCACTATGGCTCTGGCCTCCTTCACTCAGGTCTCCCTCATCATGCTCGCCTCATCTCTGGACTCACTCACCACTCCCTGGCATTTCACACCATCCACTGCGTTCTCTTTCTCACACGCACAAGTGCGCCCTAAACGACCAGAAAGGCGCGACAGCAAAGTCACGTAAGGGTAAAGCAGTATCTGTGAGGAGAAGGCAGACTCTTCTTGCTGCCTGGCTCAGACTGAGCTGACTCTCCTTTAACAGAGACCCCCAGGACTAAGTGGAGGGTGTAAAGCGATACACTGCCCCCTGTGGAAACCTGATGTCATCTAAATCTCGTGTCTCTGTCCCGTGTCTCAGGTCTGGCTTTCACTCCCTTCACTTGTAGATGTCTCTAACCAGGTTCTAACCTGGCTCTCCTTTGTCCCTGTTCCTTGCTCCTGAGCAGGTTGGAAGATGAAGACAGTGTTGGATGTGTAGAAGCCAGTTAAAATTGTGAAAGGAATCTCTGGGAGTTCGAGGCCAGCCTGGTCTACAAGAGCTAGTTCCGGGACAGGCACCAAAGCTACAGAGAAACCCTGTCTCGAAAAACCAAAAAAAAAAAAAAAAAAAAAAAGAAAAAAAAAGAAAAAAACATAAAAACAACAACAAAAAATTGTGAAAGGAATTAGCATCATTTAGGAAAGCCTATGACCCGGAATGATGGCTCAATGATTATGCCTAAATTAAAAATGGCTATATCTCTCAGTGCCCCGCCCCGCCTGTGTTTCCTTTATTTTCTGGACAGCACTTCTACATCCTTTTCAACTACTTTGAGAGCTTGATCACTGTTTTTGATATGATATAGCCTGAATTTCATATTTTTAAGCTTGTTATTTTCTTCAGCAATTAGTTCAAAAGGACTATAATGGTATAGCAGGTGTCTAAGAAAAGATAGAGGGAAGTGACTCTAAGCAGCTTGGTCATATAAGTCTTTGATTCAGTTATGCTTTTAGAAATGTCAGTACCTTTATTACAAATACCTATTATATCACAAAAAGAAAAAACATATTTGAATGAGGAAAATAGTATGCATTGATAAACATGGTAGAATTAATAAACATATACTCACTTCCTCAGAGATTTCATATTGTAAGCTTAATTTTTATTGCAATGTATAAAATAAAAATACAATTTTTTTTTATTTTTTTTTATTTTTCGAGACAGGGTTTCTCCGTAGCTTTTGGTTCCTGTCCTGGAACTAGCTCTTGTAGACCAGGCTGGCCTCGAACTCACAGAGATCTGCCTGCCTATTATACATTATTAAAATTATTTGTTTTTCTTTTTTTTTATACTGATAAAGCTTTTATTTATTTATTTATTAAAGATTTCTGCCTCCTCCCCTCCATCGCCTCCCATCACTGGCTGCCCTTATAGAGGACTTTGGTTTGATTCCCAGCACCCACTTGGCAGTTCATCCCCGTTTGAAACTCCAGTTTTGGGGCATCCAACGCCCTCTTCTGGCCTCTCTCAGCACTGAATACACATGGTACACACACACACACCATACACACACACAACACACAAGTTAAAGAAATAGCCGTCTCCGGTGTCATGGCGGCCTCCACCCCTGAAGGCATGATGGAGACCCAGGACAGGAAAGACAGCAGTTCGGGAACCGGTTCCTGAGCGATCAGGCGCGCATCTTCCACTACAATGCATGGGACAATGTGGAGTGGTCAGAGGAGCAGGCCGCAGCGGCGGAGAGGAAAGTGCAGGAGAACAGTTCCCAGCGGGTGTGCCCAGAGAAGCAAGTTGATTATGAAGTCAATGCCCATAAATACTGGAATGACTTCTACAAAATTCATGAAAATGGATTTTTCAAGGATCGACACTGGCTTTTTACCGAATTCCCTGAACTGTCACCCAGTCACAATCCCCTGATGGACTTACCCCTGGACAGCGAGAAGAGTGAGGTCTCTAAAGACAGAAGCGGTGAGGACGGCCCTGGCTTAACCACAGAGCGGCACGGGTGTTCTTGGACCAGCCGTGGATGTGACACTCAGGGGCCTCCTGTGGAAGAGACTGTGACTCGGGAGCTCAGTCACCTAGAAATCTGTGGTGATGGATTTCCTGGGTCCTCGGCCACCTACCGAATCCTTGAGGTTGGGTGTGGTGTAGGAAACACAGCCTTCCCAATTCTACAGACTAACAACAACCCAAACCTCTTTGTTTACTGTTGTGATTTTTCTGCCACGGCTATTGAAGTGGTCAAGACAAATTCAGAATATGATCCTTCTCGATGTTTTGCCTTTGTTCATGATCTGTGCGATGAAGATCAAAGTTACCCAATGCCCGAGGGCAGTCTTGATGTCGTCGTCCTTATATTTGTCCTCTCAGCAATCGTTCCAGACAAGATGCAGAAGGTTATCAGCAGGCTCAGCCAGCTCCTGAAGCCTGGAGGGGTGATGCTTCTTCGAGACTATGGCCGCTATAACATGGCTCAGCTTCGAGTTAAAAAAGGTCAATGTCTCTCTGGAAATTTCTATGTGAGAGGTGATGGCACCAGAGTTTACTTCTTCACACAAGATGAGCTGCACGCACTCTTCACCGCTGCGAGTCTGGAAAAGGTGCAGAACCTGGTGGATCGCCGCTTGCAGGTGAACCGAGGCAAACAGCTGACCATGTACCGAGTCTGGATTCAGTGCAAATACAGCAAGCCTCTCCTGCCAGGTGTCAGCAGAGAGGTGCCCGTGCCCCACACCACATGACGTCATCATGTCTCCTTACAAAAGCAGCTAGCAGCAGGACTGAGCCATTCCAGTGGTGCTGGTTTTGAAGGCATGAAAGCCACAGCACTGAAGGGCGTATAGAGCCTTGTTTTCAAGTTCCAGAGAGCCTCTGAGGCCATGCAATGTGTTCCTCCCTGTAAAGAGGCCCTGAAAGGCCACTTCTGTGGCTGGGTACCAGAGGTGATTGCTTTAGATGGGAAAAAAAGTTTATTTTGGCCTCTAACCTGTGAGTTTTTGAGGATGTTCCAGATCAAACCACAACATGGAATCCTTCCATTCTCCCCTCTTCCCACTCCCTTCTCTCCCCTGTCTCCCTCTCTCTCTCTTCTCTGGCTCCCCTTCACCCCCTCTTTCCTTCCCCTATCTCCCTCCTTGTGTCTCCCTGCCCTGTCTCCTTTCTCCTCTCCCTCACCCCTACTACAGGAGGCATAAAAAGCTCCACTCAACAGATTTCCAGTGCAGAATACATAATTAACAGGTACCCTGTCGTATGGTAGGTCTCCAGAGTTTATGACCCTATCATAAGAGATTCTGCACCCATTACTTTATACATTATATATATATATATATATATATATATATATATATATATATATATATATGGTGAACAGAAAGCAATTCCCCCTTACCCCACATCTAGGACTTGCAATTTGAGATTCTTAAACTAGATACTGAAACCTATGTCTAAGCCATAATGGGTGCATGGAAACCCTCGTTGCTGGTCAGGGTTCCATTGCCCCTTCCAGAGATTTCCTTGATCTGCAGCATGTATATTCCTCCTGGCTCTGGCAATGTTCTCACCCTAGGGAAGTGCAGGTTTTGGCAGACTATGTGGTTCATGTGTGCTCATTAGCCAGGTGGGACCAGTCAATGACTAGTGTCCCAATACTGGCAGTTAGTTTGGTCTCAGCTGTGTTCTTTCTGTCACAGTGAAACAAAGATTATTTTATGGTTTGCATCGGAAGTGTCCCCCAAAGACTCCCATGTTGGTTTGGTTGCACATGCTGGCTTTGGGGAAGCAAATGGTTCATGATGGCTCTGATGTCATAGGTGGGTCAATCCCCTGATGAATCATTTCAGGTAGGTGGTAGAAAGTAGGACATGGGGCCCGGCTGGAAGAAGGTCATGGTTGGGGTGCCTTGGAAGCGTAGGACTTATCTCGAACCCATTCTCCCCATCTCTCTGCTTCCCGCTACCTTAGGGTGGGCAGCTTGTTCCACCAACACAACTCTTTGCCGCAGTGCAAACACAGAGCCCTGTGACCATGGGCTTTATGAGCACTGGGAAATCGTGAACCAATATCACTCTTCCCTCTTTAAGTTGATGTCCATGGACATTCTTCCCATGTCAAAGAAAGGATTTCATACTTTTCTGTAAAACAATCAGGAGGCAGGACCACTCTCGACCTACCGTCTTACTTCTCCGAGATTAATGTAATTATACCAAATCTACTTTCCTTTTCCTCTCTCCAAGCCCTCTCATATATTCCTCTTTGCTCTCTTTCAAATTCATGGCCTCTTTTATCAGTAATTGTTGCTACACACACACACACACACACACCTAAATATATAAGCCACTCTTTCTGTATAATGCTACTGATATGTAGGCTCTCTGGGCTAACCATTGGTGTGTTCTTCCCTGGAGAAGACTACTTCTGTTGAGGCCTTCTGAGATTTCTCCCATCCACAATAGGATGTCCCCTGTTGTTTTGGACCTATTGTTTTGCAGCTAGAGCTGAACCTCGCTTTCTCTGGGATCCTGGGTCCTGATTCCTCTGGCTCCAAAGTGTCCTCTTTGTTCAACAGGTCTGTGATCTGCTTATTAGGAACTGTGCTGCCAAACTTTCTCCCGCTGAAACGCCCCAGGCCCAGGGCCACTCCTCCATCATCAAGCTGCCCTGAGACATGCTCAACATTCCTGCGTATGTAAGCTTCTTTGAAGGTTTGTATTTTATCTTTTCAAAGATTGCTTTCCACGTGACGATGGAAAAGTGTGCTGCGGGTCAGATACAAAGCTTCACACTACAGTACAGTCCCCAATGGGAGGTAAGGAGCTTGGTTCAGGTGGGACAAGCTGGGCCCTTTGAAGGGCTGAGGTTCTGAGGTCATGAGTACATGCCACCCTCAAGAATGGAATTGCCCATTCATGGACGCATATAAAAGCCAACATGACTGTCTGTGGTTGTTCTTTTCACTTTGTGATGCCCTGGGTCCCTAAATATTTTTCAGAACGTCCCCACTAGCAAGAAGGGTGTCACTGACACACCTATCTGATCATGGACTTCGTAGTCTCTGATGTTTGTTATAGCTACATAAGGACTAAGTCCTGTGTGGCCAAAATGAAATGTTTCTTTCCTATAACATGTAATAAATGTGTCCCTCCTAAGAGATGGATCAGGCTGCCCATGACCTGAGGGTGTCACTCCAGGGGAAGTCCAAGATGCACTCAGTGTTACTATTCGACGCATCTTTAGTTTCTTTTCCAGATCTTACAAATTATTCTTTGTTGGCACCTTTTAAAATCAGATAGAAAAGGTCCTGTGTTGAATTATTCTTAATCTGAGGGTGTGTGGGTAGCTCTGATCCTCAGGGATACAGGTAACGTCTGGCTTGCCCACAGTGCTTGTGGGGAGAAGGGGTCATGTCCTATCCCCACATGTGACCTGGCTGACCTGTCCATCCCAGGAGCTACATAGCCAGCCCCAGTCTCTGAAACTTCCCTGGGTTATGGCTTAGGAAGGGTTCCGGAGAGTTCAGATGCAAATCAATAGCACACATTACAAGAGAGTGTGAGCTAACAAAGGTGCTGGTGGGTCATGCATCTTAAAACAGCTTCTTGGGGACTTTAATTGTCGGGATGTTCAGGAGAAGACTATGACCTTAGGGGGCATTTTCTAGAATAGAATAGTCTATATATTAAAGGCAGCAAATGATTCATAACTGGTTAGTGGCTGGGCCTATAGGTCCCTGTTTCCCATGTGGATTTTTTTCTGCATTGCAAACTCTTACATTAAATTGTGATAAATGAAGAGTGGGGGCTACTCATACAAATCAATGACTCCAGTGTGTGTGTCATTAGCCTGAGAGATGCAGGCAGCGGTCAGTCCCATAAATCATGTGATGATCTGCTGTCTGCAACACGATGCAAGCAAGCAGGCGCATTAGGGAGGTTAAGAAACGAAATTAATCTGTGCATTTTCCTCTCCCCTTCCTCCTTCCCCGTCACCTGGTCACACGGAAAGAATTAAAATCACATGATCCGAACTGAACCAGCTTCAGAAGAGTAAATTGGTCAAGTTCAACTTCACCTTTCAACTTCTAGTTAATTATGTATTAGGGGATTAATTTATGGGACTGGAGACTAGGCGGAACCTACCACCCAGGTGCCAAGATTATGAATTGTTCAGGCTGTGCCACGGGCTACCTGAGCAGAGCCTGGGGAGGGTGGGTGAGGGCCGGGGGCCTGTCTGCCTGTGTGTTTGTTTGATCCTTTCCTGACCTAAGCATAGCAGACAGACACACGGAAGGTCCTGCTGCTTGCTGGGGTGATAGAAGAGCCCTCAGCCCATGATACACAGGGATTACAGAGGTGACTGTAGTGTTTGGATGCTGGAATGTTCTCGAACACTGAATTAGGAGAGACTTTTACATACATGTAGTCAGAACCTGCTGCACATGGCTAATATCCCTGTAAGGGCCATTGTTCTTGGTTCCAAGACTTTGGATTAAATCTCAATTTGTAAGATTTTTCTGCCCTTCAGGCTCCACTCTGGTAGGCGCAGCTAATAGGGTCTGAGTTATACCTCGGACACTCCAAATCAGACACTATTTTCCTTGCTGATTGTTAAGTGGTAACAGTTTAATTCACAGGCCTCTTGCCACGGGAGTCTCCTTTAGAGTAGGCCAATCTCTCTGATTCTTTCTCCAAAGTGGTCACAGCCAGCTGCAAACAACTGTAGGTTAAACAGTCCCAGTGAGAACTGAGGCAAAGAGGTGCCTCCTTTCCCAGTGTTCCTTCCTGGTGACAGATGGGCACAGGGCCATAGGGGCGTTAGCATCTCACCTATGCTCACATCCTGGGGCCATAGAGACATCATTTTCAGTGTTGTCCCAATGCTAGCATCGTCTGTCTTGGGCCACACAAGAGGAGTTCTTGGGAAGAGTGGTGTGTTGAGAATGAAGGCATGAGTTGCTGGGTGGATTTCCTGTTGACCTTGTGTTGATAGAACCTTCCTGTGCACTCTCTGAGTGTGTGCAGCTCCTTGCATCTTGCTGCATGCTTTGTTCTGGTTAGGCCTTATTGCTTAACCTTCCCCATGGTCCAGGGTACGAGCCCAAGGATTCTCATTTGACTCAAAAGGAAACTGAGGCTCAGAGACTTTAAAGGACTTGCTTGGAATCAGGTGACTTGGGAGTAGACGTGTGGCCATGAGACCCAGATGGAGTTGCACAGGGGTTCCCTTGGGTTCTCTTCCTGCTATACCCTGAATAGGTCTCTGAGACCAAGTCTACTTGACATATGCTTTGAAGCTCGGCACAACCTCAGATCTGTGCATTATATTCAACAGTTGTGCAAATCATTTGAACCAGTTTATTAGAGAGAGAAAGAGAGAGAGAGTTCTCATTGAAATAGAAGGTTTTAGCTTTTCATGAAAACTTGAAGCCTGGGTTCTGGGATGGCATTTTGCTGTTATAGTGTTGGGCTTTAGGCAAATGTGGGATCCTGTTGAGGGGGCACCGGCCTTCCTCAGGCCAGCACCCACACTCCAGTGTCTCACGAGTCATGCTCAGTGAGGTGACTGTGCACCTCTCCCTTCCCCAGCCGGCCTTACTGCCCTGTCTCCCTGCAGCATCCACACTACTCCCATCATGTAGTGCACTTCCTTCTTCTGCCCAAGCCCTCTCTGGCCATCACATTCAAGGGCTCTGGAAAACCCTCTGCTGGCCCACATTTGCTCAGATCTCCACTGATCCCCATAG